TGTATATATATATACTGTATATATATATATATATATATATATATATATATATGTATATATACACATATTTTTATGTTTTATGCAAATTTAACATAGATAATAATTATACATAAATAGATTTAATATATAATATAGAAAATAATGTCTTGACCCAGTTACCTCCTCTTCTCTATTTGCTAGTCATCTCCCCACTTTCCTTGTCAAAAAAGCATCTAAAACAAACTAAATTTGCTGTTTTCTGGACTGTTTTACCCTTTAAGGTTTGAGGAACAAAGGAAAAAGCACCTGTTTGTGTTCTCTGTGACTTTCTGACTTAGAGCATCTGAGAGAGTGATGAAAAAGATGGTGAAAGATACACAAACAGACAGTATGCATCAATATTAAACAGATTTAATACTAACTGCTCCATCTGCATCAGCTGCCAAGACACCACCTCACACAGCCGGGGAGACACTAGAGAGAGCAGTCATATAGTTTTTGAGTAGACTTATCAATAATGCATCGGAAGCTCAGTGGAAAACGCCCCCCCCCCAAGCTTCAGCAGTGAGCGGATGACTCAGTCAAACTCAAGCAATCGAACCAAAGGAACAAGTCCTGCAAGACCTTATTTAACCTCCATCACACTGTACATTATTTCAAGCTTTCTTCAAGGTCAATACATCAAAGACCTCAAACTCTGACATTAGGCTTTGTAGGCATCTAAAATCAGTTTGGACAATTCTGTATAATATATCATGACTTTAAACTTCTCTTGACAAGGTAAAGGCACATGCTTTGTTAATCCTGTGCAATGAGCGCATATGTGTTCAGTGTGATTAGAACTAATGTATGTTCACATGACAAGCGCCTGGAGAGAGACAGGAAGCACAGGTCTTACTTAATGAAGGCCGGAGGCATGTCTCTCTTCATAATCTTGTCTTCTGTGGTCTGTACCGTCTCCTTCCCCACCTGAGAACACATGTAAAACAAGCTTGTTTACAAGATGCATAATGAGACCATTAAATGCATTTCTATTTTTATGACACCAGCCTCCACTCAAAAAGGTTATACACACTCATAGGGAAAAGATTCAGCCCTCAGGCAGACCAGATTGACACAGCTTGTATGTCTGGACACAATAAGGGCCTGTGTGTCTTGGATGAGCCCTGAGGCTGATCTACAACTCGCTGTCTGGGATGCTGCCAATACTTCCAACTGTCCAATCTGAAACAACAACCCATGCTGCTCATCTGCCATTATCACACCCAGTTATTGAGTATTTCCAGAATGAACACATCGGAAAAGGAAGATGCAATCAACACATCTACAAACATGTAGTTAAAAAATAAAATAAATAACAAAAAAATTGCAAAAGAAAAAATGTAAAAGAAAACTAAACACAAAAGGAGAAACAAAACAAAACAAAAAAGGGATGCTCTAATAATTCTAGAAAAAACTACTGGAATTGCTTTGATTTTATGATTTTGCTATGATTTTAATTTAATGTTATCAATGTTATACCATGTTATTAAACTCTTTTCTGATTCAATGATTTATTTATTTAATTAATTTCCATAAATCAGTTCAAACTGTCTGTCTCATCGATTCAAAACCCCGTCTCTGAGTCACTGATTTATCTGCATCACACAAAAAGAGAGATTTTTTTGCTATAATCGCCCAACCCTATCAACCATTAATCTGAAACATGAATCTTAAGTGTCCAAGCAAAGAAAAGTGCCCCCAATTCTCTCTTACATCACAGCATAACCACTGTTTGATTTTTAAACCATAACCCTGAGGTGACAAGATATCAGACCACACACACATTGCTCCCATGCACGTGGTCTATTTGCCCTTTCACTGGACATCAGGAATGACATTACAGTGTCCTTCTTTAGAGTCCACTAATGCAGAGATAGCAGCGTAACAGAGAGATGTTTGTTATCTCCACACGGCACATGGCCACTTCCCGCCTGCTCTTTTTTCCAATGATGTAATTACACTGAGGCAGTCACATTCATTTCTCTATCCTCCATCTCTGAATCATATTTGAAGAAGATTTTTAAGCTCCCATCAAGCTTTTCATGAGCTGACATTTGGAAATGTACTGAGTTCTAATTGGGTGAAGGGGACTCATAAATAAGGCTAACTGGGTTAACTGCTGGGCTAAAGTGGGAACAGAGATCACATATGCACACACAGCAGCCAGTCACAAACATCAACCCTGTGCACGCTGTGAAGAATGCTGCACAGCCTTTTTGGTAGATGTAGAATGAAAAGCCTTTCATTGCAGTTCTGGATAAACATGATGTACCCTTCCAAAAAAAACATACAGTCAAACTGTCATGTGGTCAGAGAGTTGAACACTTGCACTTATTATTTTCAGTGTATCTGAGGCTTATAGTGTCTATTGGTACCTGATATATTGAAACGCTCTTCTCAGTGGGGCCTCCACCTTACGCTACTCTTCAGATACTGGACCTGCAACCACATTCCACACAGTTATTCTTAGCTCAGTGTCCTGGTCTATAAGGCCATCCGAGGGGCAAGAAGTAATGGTGGTAAATAAGAGCCCACTACCAACTTAGTGTGGGGTTTACAAGCACCAAACAGTCTAAAGCAACCAAAGTGACAGGTGCACAACATATGTATTTAGAACGATACTGAATTAAGTATCCTATTGCTTCCTGTATCTAAACTCAGGTAAGGGAAATTGATTCTTAATTAAATGGTATGTTCACTGATTTTCAACCAGCTTTTTATTGTTACAATGCCAGTGGTATAAGTAAATGAAGAATGCATATTATTTTTTCATGTTATCAGCACCAAGATATTCCAGTTTATTTGTCAGCAAATAAATGGTTTTACATCATCCAATGGACTTTTTTGACAGGGCCTTTGTGAAAACTACATATTATACATCCAAATTTTTGTATCCTCACTCATGGATAGTCTGATCAGGCCCAATGCATTATGGGTGTTGAAGTTTTCCTGCCTTTTTTCACCAGTCATTTTTCTCTGTTCTCTCTAGTCGTGTGGCACTTATTTAACTAGTACGTTGTCAAAAATGTCTCATTTTGGAAAAGGAGTGTAAAAGTGCTACAGTAAAAACGTATTAATTGGTTAACTATAAGATACCTTAAGTATAGAATATTTATAGAATATTTAATACTAAGATGCTTTTAAAGTACTTTTCACTATAAATTTTACGGGTAGCTTGAATGTAAACATTGTCATGAATTCGTTCCATTCCAACAAATTCATTGTTGTAGGCTAACCCAATCTCATGAAAGTGCGTATAGCACGATTTTCTGCTTCTATTTGACGTAATATTTATATGCAGAAATTGACTTTGGCATGCAAAAGACTGGTAAATTCATAATTAACGGCATGGGTTCAGTCGACAGAAACACGGGAGACACAGGTCTATAATAACTGCTGAAATGTTTGCGGAGCAAATCTCAGGTCAGTCTGAGCGCTCATGGTACTCACAGTTCATACAGCCATACACCTGCAGGCGCCACAGACTCGGACGGTTGTTGTGGTAATAAACACCGTAAACAGCAAACGTTCGCGTGTCCGCGCTTAATGTGCATATCCTATATGAAAAGCATTTTAGGGGGCCCTTGGCTTTTGGGGGCCCAAGGCGGTCGCCTACCTTTGCCTAATGGGTAAGTCCGCCCCTGCATACAATTTTGCTGCAACATTTGATTTCACCACAAATACGTTTTTTATTAGCATTTTAAATGTACTTTTCTTTTTTACAGCATAGTGACATGTGGTAGCAGCAGTGCAGCACAAAATCCACCTGTCCAATAATGTGATTTTAACAGCCAATGGCATGTTTATTTATGACACTGGCTCAAAAAAAACTAAACTGATATCTGACATGATTCTCATTCCTCTAAAATTCATTTGTGTGTGCGGGTTATACTGGACACATACACACAGTGCGGGTGCGACTGCATTCTCTCTCCATGATGGCTGTTTATATAACAAGGCTCCTGCTCTGTCACAGCACTCTGTCATCTGTTGACTGTTTACACTCGAACTCAGAAGTGTCTCTCATTGATTCCCACAACCTCCGCAAAGACTTACGACTCCTTTAAAGGGAAACTCTGCACACACGCTGGCAGATCCATAAAAGGTTAGACTTTATAAAAGGCCCATCAAATGCACATTTGGCACTTTTCGTGGTGTCAAACAAAGCATACGGGTAACAGATAGACAGACTTAAGAGGCATCAATGCATCGATTGGGTACTTTTGATGCATAATTAATGCAGAGTGCTTATAGCAGTTGTAGCTTCACTAAAAGGCTGTTTGATCTCAGGTGCATTAGCGCTGTGATAATGGGTTTTGAGAGAGCAGCCCAGGTCAGCAGCTGCTCCTGCTCCCGTCTATGAGGCCACTGTCAGATATCATTAAGGACAATTCAGACAATTTCAGCAAACAGGACTGAAGAGGCCGGACTTAAAGAACTTGTTCATTGTGGATGATTACATCAAGCCCAATTTCCCAAAACATACATTAAGTGCAAATGAAATGATGCATAACTTCCTACAAGTAACTAAGACCTCCATTGAGTCATGTTTTGAGATTATGTGGAGAATGTTTGTCACTTTAGCAGATAATAAAAAGTGATAGACCAACATACAGTATTGGTTCATATTTGACCATTTTGAGATTATTAGTCAAATATCATTACACTTCTTTTCTGTCAGTGACCATTTGACTGATTAACAGAAGTGTTTCTTCATCCTTAGTCAGCTCTTTGTCAACAACTGAGTAAATTATGAGTAAATATTGTATGAAATAAGGTATTTTTTAAAAAGAAATTAATACTTTTATTCAGCAAGGATGTATTCAACTGATTAAAAGTGTCAGTAAAGACATAACATTGCAAAAGATTTCTAATTCAAATAGAAACTTTGCTGTTCTTTTCAAATTTCTGTTCATCAAAAAATCTTGAAAAAATTCAACATTGATAATGATAAATGTTTCTTGAGCACCAAATCAGCAAATTAGAATGATTTCTGAAGGGTCATGTGACCCTGAAGACTGGAGTAATGGCTGCTAAAAATTTAGCTTTGCATCACAGGAATAAATTACATTTTAAAATATATTACAATAGAAAACCATTATTTTAAATTGTAATATCCTTTAAAGGGAAACTCTGCACACACGCTGGCAGATCCATAAAAGGTTAGACTTTATAAAAGGCCCATCAAATGCACATTTGGCACTTTTCGTGGTGTCAAACAAAGCATACGGGTAACAGATAGACAGACTTAAGAGGCATCAATGCATCGATTGGGTACTTTTGATGCATAATTAATGCAGAGTGCTTATAGCAGTTGTAGCTTCACTAAAAGGCTGTTTGATCTCAGGTGCATTAGCGCTGTGATAATGGGTTTTGAGAGAGCAGCCCAGGTCAGCAGCTGCTCCTGCTCCCGTCTATGAGGCCACTGTCAGATATCATTAAGGACAATTCAGACAATTTCAGCAAACAGGACTGAAGAGGCCGGACTTAAAGAACTTGTTCATTGTGGATGATTACATCAAGCCCAATTTCCCAAAACATACATTAAGTGCAAATGAAATGATGCATAACTTCCTACAAGTAACTAAGACCTCCATTGAGTCATGTTTTGAGATTATGTGGAGAATGTTTGTCACTTTAGCAGATAATAAAAAGTGATAGACCAACATACAGTATTGGTTCATATTTGACCATTTTGAGATTATTAGTCAAATATCATTACACTTCTTTTCTGTCAGTGACCATTTGACTGATTAACAGAAGTGTTTCTTCATCCTTAGTCAGCTCTTTGTCAACAACTGAGTAAATTATGAGTAAATATTGTATGAAATAAGGTATTTTTTAAAAAGAAATTAATACTTTTATTCAGCAAGGATGTATTCAACTGATTAAAAGTGTCAGTAAAGACATAACATTGCAAAAGATTT